TTTTATATGTATATATTTATATTATATTTTTCATAGGTACATTATTGGATATGTAATTTACAGATTTTTTGTTTGTTTGTAATTTTAGGGGGCGAGATGTGAGAGGGAATGACAACTAAAAGAAATGGGGTGATTGATATGCTATTAATAGGGAGTATATTAATTACAATTATGGCAGTTAATGAAATGCTTGAAATAAATTATAAATAAAATATGAAGTTTAGTGGCAATGATGTAAAAACATAGAAATACTAAGACCTCTTATATCCTACTGGTCATTTAAATTTGAAATTGGGTTTTACACATAGATTTATAGAGTGATGGGTATATGTCTAGGAAATAGAAAATGGAAGGATCTATATTGGAGAAGCCCTTTTCAAATATTGTCTCAGGTTCGATTTTCTCGTTCCGACATGAAAAAGAATTTTAAAAAAAGTTGTGCCAAACATCAATTCCCCACCTCTTTGGCTGTGGATAGGCCCACCAAACATGAATATAATCAAATGAACCGAAGAGGGATTTCCCCCCAATATATTAAGAGAGAGAAATCACAACATTTAGGGTTAGGGGATAAATGCTTTTTTTTTTTTCCCTTTCAAATTGTTAGGGTTTTTTTTCTTTCTTTTTTTAAAATTAAAATTTATTTTGATTTTATTTTATAAATTTGAATGCAAAAATGTACTAAAAAAATGTTTATTTAACAACAAAGGAAGCTAGTAAATTTTTACGTAACAATTTACTAGCTCCTTTTAAGAAAGTGAATAATGCACGTGAGTTAAGAGTGGTGAGTAAAATCGGACTCAAAATAAAATAGATTGATGAGGAGGAAACAGTTGAAATCTCATATTGGATATGTGTGAACAAAGCTAATTACTATTGAAGTGGTACGGGCAAAACGCTGAGGTTATGGATGAGTCTGTTAATCTGGACTTCTTAATGAAATTATTATATAGGTTAAAATTTGGTAATAAGAAAACTACTTGAAATGACAAGGATGGAGTCGATAGGTGTCGAGATCATACATACAACTTGAACATAGTCCAAAACATTAAAGTTCAATTATAAGAGCCTGGCATGCTTACCTATCATTTGATGTTATAAGGTTCTTAGATACCGCGTTAAATTTGCATTGTCACTATCATCTTTATTTTATAAAAAAAAAACTTTTGTTAAATGAAGATGATAATGACAATGTGGACTGAATGTAGTTTCAAAGCTTTACAACATCAAATAATTAAGTGGGTTAAGAGCATTTACTCCTGCATATGAGGTCATATGTTCGATTCCTCCCTCCTCCAACAGAAAAAAGAAACCTGTTTTGTTAACATTTTTTTTTCTTAATTCCAACGTTTTACACCATGTCTCAGGAATAAAATATCCCCATTTCCAAATTCCTTTCGTATAATTTTATCTTACCAAAAATTAGAATAATATGTTGCTAATCTTTTGTACAAAAAAGCATATTAATTAGTCAAGCAGTGTCACAATTCACCACAAACCAAAAGGACATACAGTATACGATAAAGCTATAGATAAGATTCGAGCACAGCACAAAAAAGTTCCCACAACAATCCCAAACCCAACAAAGAAATCTAGAGAGAGTTTGAATTGTTGACTTAAAATCCAAATCGTTTAGGTCCAATTTCAATTCCAATTCCACAATGTAGTGCTAGGTTAACGTGAGAATCGTTCACTTAATCAAATCACCTGACAATAACTTGAGTCAGTTTGATGTTGTTGATAAGCGCGGAATCATAAATTTTTATAGGGGTGAGCTATCATTTCCTATATGGATAAGATTTAAATAAAATTTCATTCATAAGAGAAAACTTGAAGCTTGAAATCTCTGAAATATATATGGCTAACCGGAGATCTGCTTGGATAAGAAAGACTAATTTTTGCTTGAGCGGGCTAGGCTAATTTTTGTGATTTGAGGTGTAATGTCTTAAAGTTAGTACTAAATTTTATTTTTCCCAAACATTGCACTACGCTATAGCCCACCTATTCATGGTGTAGTTCCACCCTTGATTGCTGAGAAGAAAGCATCTAGAGGAGCACTCGCCTAATTTGGGACAGAATATGAAAGCCAGAAGCAATGCATGAGGACGAGGGCAAAGCCAATATCGGGTTTGGCCAAGTCAACTTGATCTACTACATTAAGTCAAAAAGGCATCACATACCATTAAAGAATCCCCATCAGAACAATACAAGCTCGGAATAATTCTTTTTTTTTTTTCTTGCAGAATGAAGGCCGAATACAATTTGAAATGAAAGTGGTCCATCAAGGAATCAATGGAGTCTTTATCACAAGACTTTGATCACAACTTTTTGAGGTCCGCGGTTAAAAGTATAAGTCGTGCAAGATTAGGATGGATGGATGGATGGATGGATGGATGAATTGTGATCAAATGGATGGATGGATCAAAAGGAAAATTTGGACCAAAAACCTTATGAGAAAATAGTGCTAAGCCCAAGTAGCCCCACAGCCTCTATCATGTAGTGCTTATAAGGAGACAATTCAATTATCAATAAGACCTTCCTAGAACACCCATTATTTGTTAAATTTAAGATAAATGTCAGAGGGAAGGGCTACTAGCAATACCGATACTGTCCCCAACTTAACCACCTATAAAGCCCAACAGGTGTGGAATTTTATCATAAAAGATCTCGGTATTATTAGGAGTGGAACCACTTATCAAGTTTTCAATGTGGGACTTTTATATCTACAAAATACACAACAAACAATTCAATCCCAAATTTCCTTTCAACTTTATTTTCGTTCTATGGTTAATACACAGATTGAACAAAGAGGAGAATACTGACAGTGAGTCTTACAACTGTAAACTGTTATTATTTAACATGGAAATGCAAGACCCAAATAACAAAAAAAAGAAAGAAATGATTCAACCCAACTCTTTTTCCAACTTTCCCCACTCTTACATGGAAGGTTTTACAGTCTCACTTCATATGATTGCAGATTCTCCACGGAAGATCTTCTGCACTCTTCCTAGCTGAAGGAATTTGCTAAATTTGTGTTTGTCCCTTGTGTTGAAAGCAATCAGGACTACTAAAATTGCAACCTTATTACCTATGTCCAACCTAAAGCAGATATTTTCTTCAGGATCTCCTATCACAATACCTTACGCCATTGCACCAAGAAACGACTGGAAGAAAAAGAAAAAAACACATTTTAACAAGGCATGCAAGTGTCAATTATGAAGTGAAGGTTCATGAAAGCATAAATATAAATTACAGTACAAAATGCAACACAATGCAGCCAAAACATGAAGAAGGAAAACAACGGACTCACTCACAATGCAGCCAAGTTTAGATACTTGCAAGAACATTGGTACCAATAAATAAGACTAGGGCCATTCTTTTAAAAATAAAAACTTAAAAAGGTTTTTACAACCAAACATCTAAACACACACTCGAACCGCTGAGAACAGCAAGATCCTATGCCTTGTAACATAGACCATAAATTGAAATGTTTCTACAACAACATGACTCAACAGAACAAACCTACAATTGCAATTCAAGATGTGATATCACATCGGTACCCATGCCTTAGAAACCATTTTTCTTTAGAACCCGTTAAAATTATTTTGCTTAATTGCCCCGGGGTCTTTTCGGCAAGCGGAAGCAACAGGTCCAAGGTACCATAACACAGTTTACTGAATGATGCATTCATCTATGGATGTACAGTGCTTTTCAGTGCTCAAATCAGCATGGACGATAGTTGGAAAATGTTTCTATATAATTTGCTATTCCTCTTGTATCAGTTGCAAACAAGTAAACATATGTTGCCTTCATTATACACTCAACAAAAGATTCATAAATTGGGTGAGACAGATGAACATACCTTGGCTTTCATTGTAGTACCCGGCTTAGCTGAAGCTCTACTCCCAAAGCCAAACTTTGGCTTCTTTTCAGCAGGTTTCAATATCTGGAAAGAGCACATAAGAGACTCATCCACGCTCATCATTGCCCCAGCATTGTCAAACTCACCACAGTAATTAGGTGCTGAAAATATTGTCACAAGTTGTCTGTTGGCAAAGAACTCATATCCATCTTCGACAACCTGGAAATTAAATGATATCCAGTCAATGGAAGACACTCTAGGTTGTGTGATTTTGGCAAATTCTCAAATTAAAAGATATACAAGACCTGGTGAGCTCGGCAAATTAAATCTAGATCATGCTTCCGAAGAAACTCCGTCACCCTATCAGCACCAAAGGTAAAGGAAACTCCCCTCTCATTTGGTCCCCAACCTTGAATGTCTTTGCTAGGATCAGACCACAGGAGATCACATAGCAAACCACTGTCTGGGACATCAGTAGGTCGCTGTAAACTCTTAATCTGATTTAAATTGTTTAACTCAGGAGATAGTCCGCCATGCATGCAGAGAATTTTCTCATCAATGAGAGCTGCCACAGGAAGGCAGTTGAAACATTCTGTAAATACTTTCCAGAGTCTGACATTAAATCTTCGTTTACACTCATCAAAAAACCCATATATTCGGTTTATTGAAGCACATTCATGGTTGCCCCTCAGAAGGAAAAAATTCTCTGGATACTTTATTTTATATGCAAGGAGAAGGCATATGGTTTCAAGGCTTTGCTTCCCACGATCGACATAATCCCCCAAGAACAAGTAGTTGGAGTGAGAAGGTAATCCGCCAAACTCAAAAAGCCTCAGAAGATCTGAATACTGACCATGGACATCACCTGGGTGACATTAAGAAACTCACGTGAAGACAGATAATCAGAATTGTTGTTTTAATAATATAGAAAGATGTAATTACAGATAGATAAACAGATTACGAATGAAATTATCAAGAACTCATCCCATGCACGATTGTAGCTGCACAAGATATAGCAATCCTACACTGGAGGATTTCAAAAAATTACACTACAGTTTTTTTTTGGGGGGGGGGGGTGTTGGGAGAACACAAAAAGAATTGAAGTTATAGGGTTGTGGTTAGTAGTGATAATTGGCCAGCAAATATTCCCAAGCCCTCAAGGCCTCAAGTACACCTTTCCATAGCTCAATGTTGTATAATGCTTAAACAAATTGAAAGTCAAATGGTAATAAAGTAGACAGAAGAGAAGGTTTTACAGGAAAGAAAAATACACAGAAGACGAACAATAGAGCAATATCAAAAGATACCACTAGGCATTTACTTGTGTCCATACATCTCGAATCCAATATGAATACCAAGTTTTCAGAGTTTCCAAAGATCTTCGCAGCCATGTGATTCTTCCCTTTAGTCAAGTGAAGATTAGGGACTCAGCTTGTTGTGAATTGGGAATAAAAATTGTGGTGGAAAAGGGCCAGTTATCAAGTTTAACTCGAGGATTGAGTATAAAGATGACATATTTTAGCACGATTGTTAATCACTTTATGATGGAATGGAACACAACTTATTAATCTTCAGATTTGATCATAACCCAGTTCAAGCCAATAAAAATTATCCATACCCAGAACAAGCAGACTACTATTTATTTATACCCAGAACAGAGTTTTCATATTCAAACTCAAAATTTATCAACCCACCAAACAAAAAGCAAATTAGAAATAATATAAGACAAAGGAGAATATAGGGTTCATGTAAAAATACCACAAATCTTGATAGGAGCATCAAGCTCCAAAAGATTAGGCTGCCTCAAGAAAATATCCTTGGATACAAAACAAAGTTGCCTTATCTCAGCCTCCTGGAGCTGCACTTGTTTGCCTGGTCTCCCTCTAACTTCAAGAAGCCTATTAATTATACTATCAAGAACACCAGGTTCCATCTCGCCCCTAACAAAAATGAAATCTTTCAACAAGCAGAGAACAAAGCAAACCCGAAAAGCAAAGCCCAAGTATAAGAATAAAGAGCAGTGCTCTGGCCTTCTAGAGCCCCAAAGACTTTCATTCCTTAGAGGAAAAAACAGAAAAGTTAGAGGGACTGTGAGCTTTAAATCAAAATGGATAGGGAGGGGATTTGGGTTCCTTCTTGAGCTTTAGAAAAACGAATGGTGCACACTGAAATAAAAAGCAAAGAATATATTCCTTGAAATCTTTGTTTCTTTGGAGAAGAAAGTGGAGAGCAGGGAATGAATGAGAGGGGAAAAGTGGGTTTGTGAGTGCGGAATATGGACCCCTAACAAACCAGAAAGATGATGCAGAAGGCCACCAATTTCGAGAAAAACAACTATGAAACTGGGTCAGTGAGCACTTATGCGGCAGCACGCCAATTTCACACGCACACACACGGCGGTAAGTTCATCACACCTCTTTTCTCTCTCCCACTTATTTTTTAAAGATTTAATTGCTACGGTATGTCTTGGAAAATTATGAGCATTTTTGTTCACTATTTTAACTTAAAGTGTATCTTTATTATTATTTTAAAAACTTAACACATATACATGTGTAAATCACAGTTAATAATATACTTATAAGTTTTTAAAAAAAATTATTTAAAACCATAAAATAAAATAAAATAACATTAAAAAACTCTCTCATTCTCTCTCCCCCTTCCCGACCCAACCCAACCCAGATGCCCTATAACCCCTCATCAAGCCAGCCACCATTTCTCGGTGTTTTCGCCGTCGTTGTGGCTGTTATGCAACAAGTAATCTGTGATCTCTTTGTGCCCAGATTTCCTAACCTTAGCACCGCAGTCAAACGTGGTGACTTCATGTTTGTCTCCGTTCGTTGCTTTTCCGGCTTCGGATATGGAATCTCATTTAGATTTGAGCCGGGCTTGGAATTTGTAAGCTCTCCTCTTACCACTGCAAGGCATCTTGAAACATACCTCCCTTTCTCAATTCTCACAAGAAGTTAGGATTTTCCCAAAACTAACTTTCATTGAAATCTTTTTTTTAAGGTTTGGGTGCTTTCATTGGAATCTCATTTTCAAGAGTCTCAAATGTAACTAATTAATTTCAATTCAAGGATGCTATTATGTAGATGTGTGTTGGGTGGGTGGTGGTTGTAGAGATTGGGCGATTGGGGTTGTGTGTGGGTTGGGAACGGGAAGGGGGAGGGGGATGGGGAGAGAGGAGAAAGTGTTTTTTTAATAATAAATATTATTTTATTATTATTTTACTTTATTTTATTTTATGATTTTAAATACTTAAAAGATTTAAAAATAATTTATTAAGTATGGTTTACACATGGGCAGGTGTCAAGATTTTAAAATAGTAGTGAGGGTATACCTTGAGTTAAAGTGGTAAGCAAAAATGTTCCCTGAAACACTAGTCCAATCTCACTTTACCCCTTTAAAGTTAAAGTGACCCACTTTACTCCCTTGACTAGGGTTTCATGTGTCACTTAACCACTTTCCGTCAACTTCATCCCAAGCTCCATTAAAATGATGACGTGGCATGGGTATATTGGCCAATTCATTTCAGCTTGCATATTTCTCACCAATCTGAGTTGGTGATGTGGATTTGTGGACCCCACCTCGAACAAAAGTCGTTTTGACTACTGATGTGGGTTTAAGATTTGCAACCACTGGCCTATTTAGGATTAGAAACTATTCAATTATGAACATGAGGTTAATTAAAATCAAATGAAATTATCGTAATAGGGTGAGGACAGTGTGTAAAGGGAATTCTTGATGGGTTTGTTTTGCTTCAGCAGTGAATGAGTTCAAGTGAATGTTGATGAGCATGATTGTGGGATAGTTGAGCAAAACTTTCATGCTAACTCAACATGGTTAGCTCAGAGATATGCTACTCAACTATCTAGAATTCATAATTGGGATATGAGATCTTTTAAACAGTAGGTACAAGAAGATCTCAGTGTGATAGCTTCCAAATCCCATATTTATAGGGCAAGATACAAGGCAACAGCCATAAGTGAGGGGACTTATAAAAAAATAGTATGAGTTATTGTGGGATTATGTTGTTGAACTAAAAAGGACAAATGTGGGGAGCACAGTAATTATCAAATGTGAGTTGGAAGGTGAAAGGCCAAGGTTTCAGAGGATTTACATTTTCTTGGTTGTAGTTAAACACAGTATTTCTTGCAGGGATGTAGGCTAGTGATAGGATTTGATGCTTGTCACATCAAAGGTCATCAACATGGACAATTACTATTTGCTGTTGCTGTGAATCCCAACGACGACATGTATCATATTGCATATTCAATGGCTGATGTGGAGAATTATGAAACATAGTCTTGGTTTTGTCAATTGTTGGCAGAAGACCTTAGAATAAAAAACAACTCCTTTGTCTTTATCACAGACAAGCAAAAAGGTTTGATTGATGCAATAGATGATCATTTTCCAAATGTTGAGCATATACACAGCCTAAACACTTAGAAGAAAATTTTATGCTTGCTGGTCACAGAGGATTGGTGTTGAAATTGCAAATGGAGAAAATTGCAAAGAGCACAATCATTCCATGGTAGGATGCTGAGATTAAAAAAAATGAGAAAGTTGAGCCAAGCTGCATTTGATTGGGTGATGGCCTTAGATCCATCACAATGGTGTATAGCTCACTTTAAAACTCATTCCAAGTGTGACATCCTTTTGGATAATACGTGTGAGACTTTTAATGGTGCCCTTCTAGAAACCAAAGACAAACCCATTTTAACCATGCTTGAGAGGATTAGATACTATATTATGTTGTTGATGGAAACTAGAAGAGCATCTTCAGAGAGATGGAAACATGACATAGGTCCAAGGATTTTTAGCATTTTGGAGAAGACGAAGAGAGAAGCAGCTTGGTGCATTCCATAGCTTGCTGGGCAGAATTTATGAAGTGAAAAACCATGATGGAAGTTAGGATGAAGTTGATTTGGCAAGGAAAATTTGTTCATGTAGGATATGGGATATCACAAGGATCTCATGCAAGCATGCTTATGCTGCCATTTGACAATTAAGTAGGGATCATATTGCTTATGTTGATGATTGTTACAAGAATTAAGCCTTTATGAGAGCTTATAGTCCAATGGTACACTCAATGACAAGTGAAGACTTGTGGCCTAAGTGTCATAGGCCTCTTTCACTGCCACCACTATATCACAAGCAACCTAGGAGACCAAGGAAGAAGCGGATGAGATTAGTAGGTGAACCACCACAAACCTTTAATCCTAAAGCCACCAAGACGCAGAGGTATAACTTGGAAACCTCCAAGTGTTCAGTTTATAGATATGGAGACCATAATAGGAGGAGATACCCTAAGGCTAGAAGGTAGTAGTAGTTAGGTTTGGCTATTATCTTACATTGTAATTATAATTGTTTTAGAGATCTTTAATATTCATTTTTATGTTATTCTCTTCTTATGTCAGGTCCCATCTAAACCAAGGGTGAAGAAAAATAATTGTTACCACATCAACCAAGAGGGTTACAAGACAATCAAGAGACAAGTAACCTGTAAATGATTTTCCTTTGATAAATGTTTACAGAAATAAGTATTTTATGTAGTTGATATAAATTGCCTTGTGCTTCAATTTTTAGGTCAAAAGAAGGTTGGAAACTGGCCAATGTTCTCAAGCTGCCCAAGCTTCTCGAACTGCACATGCTTCTCAAACTGTCTAACATTCTCAAACTGTGCATGAATCTCAATCAATTGCAAGCTTATCACAGCCTATTGGCACTGGTACAAACCAAAAAAAAAAAGGTTCAAGTCTCCTGCAAAGAGGAATAAATTTACCAATAAGAAGGATGCTTCTCAAACTGTGCAAGGATCTCAAACTTCCATTAGAAGTTAATATGTGCAATCTGTGCAAGCTTGTTCAAGTTCTCAAACTATGCATAGATCTCAACCAACTGCAAGCTCATCATAGCCTTTTGGCACTAGTACCAAAAAAAAAAAAATGTTCAAATCTCCTACCAATAGGAAGGAGTTGTTGGACAGTTATCAGTCTTGGAGATTCTGATGATATGTGCAAGTGTTGTGTGTTTTGTTAAAATGCCTCTTATTAAACTGTTAATTTGATGATGTGCACGTCTTGTGATTTGGCTAAATTGACTCTTTAGAAGAGCTTTTCATGTATTATATTTTGATGATGTGCAAGTGTTGGATGATGCTTAAATTGATATATTGCAAGTCCAACTATTTAGGACAAACCTTGTTAGATATCTCATAAAATATATCAAGTACTAATATTGATTTTCATCAATGTTTCCAGATTGAAAGTAATGTTATAAATTGTTGTTTTGGTATTTGTGAGGAATTGTTATGTTCAAAACTATTGTTTTGGTAATTGTTAAGAAGTGTTGGAGGTACTGTTGTTTTGGTAATTCTTTTTATATTCATTACATAAGTACTAGAATAATGCTAATTATAAAATTGCCTCCCACATTATATTCAAATATCACATTCAATAGATAAGTACCAATACAGGATTTGTTACAAATAGTTGCAAAATACATCCACATCACCCTAATTCATCCATCATCACCCTACTTCAGTTGCAAAATACAGACTTCCAAAATCACTATATTTCATCCATCGCCAACCTCTAATGGCCTAATTATGTCACAAGTTTTGTAGAAACTACAAAAACAATATAATTACTAAACCCTGTGTGTTGAGGCCCAAAAAATTCAAGGATGGACCCAAATATATTTCTAGCCCAATACAATACTCAATTGAGAAAGAAGCCCGACAAGAGTATGGAAGACTTTGTCGTATGCTCTTGCACAAGTTATGGTCTGCATGCCATGCCAAGCCAATACGCAACCCGCCAATCAAAGAGGTCACAACAAGCCTGTAAAATGTACTAGTTCCATGAACCCACTCTCATTGTCCTGTCAAACACAGCTTGACCTGTCCATAGCCTGTTACAATAAGGCAGAGCCTGAGCACAAACATGTCACACGACACGCAACATCAAGTGAAGAAAACCTTTATTTTAGTACCAAACCACACTACAAGCTTAAATGGGCTTAAGCCACACAAATGTCTGGGGTTTGCTGAGTAGGTTGTGGTATGGATGATTACGAGTGTTCATGAGGCCCATTGATAGTCCAAGAAATGGAAGTTTTAGGTTGCTTGGGAGCACCAAACTCAGGCCCATTTCTTGGGCCCAAATATATGGGTAAGGATAAGAGAGAAAAATAGCCTTGCACCTTAGAGAAATGGCCTAGCACTTTAGAAAATATCCCAGTACCCTATTAAAACCAAATGAAAACTAAGCCACCGTTAAAACCAAGTGAAATCCATGTGCTTGGCTCCTGGAAGTGAGACACCTTTTAGACCAGCACGCTTACCCATTCTTTCCTCTACAAGCTTTGGTAGGAAAACCATGAGGAAAAGTAAGAGGTGCGCCTCACCCAGGATGGAAGAAGTCAGCTGCAGGAAAACCATGGAGCCCCAAAATGCTCTACCCCAATGTGGTTGAATTCAGAAATTTTCACCAAAAAAGATTGAATCGAAGGAAGTAAAGGGAACTGAAGTTGAAGACTTGGCAAAATTTGGGGAAAGGTAGCTAGAGTTCCTAAACCAGAAGGGGCTTCCAGTGCCTATAAAAGGGGGCACCTCCTACCCAGTAAAACAACCATCCAGAGCACGACGAAGCAATCGTCAAGCTGCTGGAAGATCTACTCAAATCACCCATCCTTTTATCATCATCTTTCC